TCCTCCTCCTGCTCCTCCCTCTTCCTCCTCCTCCTCTTCCTCCTCTTCTCCTCGTCCTCCTTTTCCTCCCCTCTTCTTCCTCCCTCCTCCTTTTCCTCCTCCTCCTCCTCCTCTTCCAGTCCCCCATACCCCGTCGGCCTCCCCCCCTCCCCCTCTGCCACCTCTGCCACCTCAAATTTTGTCCCCTCCCCCCTCCCCCACCTCCACCACTCCCACCTCTGCCACACTGTGCCACCTCTGCAACCTCTCCCTCCCCCTCTGCACCCTTGTTTTTTCCACTCTCCCCCTCTGCCACCTCCCCCTCCCCCCATTCGTCCTCCTCGTCCTCCCTCCTCGTCTCTCGTCCTCCTCGTCCTCCTCGTCTCCTCGTCCCTCCCGTCCTCCTCCTCCTCCTCCTCCTCCTCCTCCTCCTCCTCCTCCTCCTCCTCCTCCTCCTCCTCCTCCTCCTTTCACTCTCCCGTCGCCACAGTTGCACGCGAACCGACAAAATTATCCTGGCGAAAGACCCAACCATATGCAGTTGTGAGTGCCGCAATTGTGAGTACCTTTTTCGGTGGCGCTCCCTACGGGGCCACGAACCGCATGAGGGGCATGCCGAAATATGGCGGGGTACACAACGCAAAGGAATACGACAGGTCAGATTACGAAAGAATGAACGCGGGTGAGCCAGAGCGCGAGTGAGTCTGAGTGTGAATGGGTCTGCGTGGGAGTGAGTATATTTGCATGAATGCGATCTTGGCTACGCCGAGTGTAAATGTATATGAATGTGAATGGCTCGAGCATGCCTGTCCGAACACTTGTGACACTGGGCGTGGCCGCCGCAGGCAGCTTCCGCGGGAACCCCGACGGCAGCGCCCGCGCGCCGCGACGCCCATGTCGGCACGCCCCTCACGGGGATCGCACCCGCTTCCGTCCCTTTTGTTTCCCCCCTCTTTGCCTGCGCGCTCCATTAATCCAAAACTGCGGGCGCAGAGCAGCGCGGAGTCCCCGCGACGCGCGCAGGTCGCCGCGGAGGGGTCCCAGCGACGCGCGCAGGTCGTCCGCTGCGCGGAGCACAGAGAGCTAGCCGGCCGGCTGATTGCGGGCGGGCAAGGCTAACTGCACCACTGGGACCTTAGGTGCAGCTCCCTGAGGGGCCACGAAACGTGTGAGGGGTGTGCCAAAAAGGGGCGGTGGCGCCATGCGAGCTGCGCCACTTGGACCTCAGGTGGAGCTCCCTGAGGGGCCACGAAATCTGTGAGGGGTGTGCCAAAATGGGGCGGTGGCGCCATGCGAGCTGCGCCACTTGGACCGTAAATGGAGCTCCCTATGGGGCCACGAAACGTGTGAGGGGTGTGCCAAAAAGGGGCGGTGGCGCCATGCGAGCTGCGCCACGTGGACCTTAGGTGGAGCTCCCTATGGGGCCACGAAACGTGTGAGGGGTGTGCCAAAAGGAGCTCCCTGAGGGGCCACGAAACGTGTGAGGGGTGTGCCAAAATGGGGCGGTGGCGCCATGCGAGCTGCGCCACTTGGACCGTAGATGGAGCTCCCTAGGGGCCACGAAACGTGTGAGGGGTGTGCCAAAATGGGGCGGTGGCGCCATGCGAGCTGCGCCACTTGGACCGTAAATGGAGCTCCTTATGGGGCCACGAAACGTGTGAGGGGTGTGCCAAAAAAGGGGCGGTGGCGCCATGCGAGCTGCGCCACGTGGACCTTAAGTGGAGCTCCCTGAGGGGCCACGAAACGTGTGAGGGGTGTGCCAAAAGGAGCTTCCTGAGGGGCCACGAAATCTGTGAGGGGTGTGCCAAAATGGGGCGGTGGCGCCATGCGAGCTGCGCCACTTGGACCGTAGATGGAGCTCCCTATGGGGCCACGAAACGTGTGAGGGGTGTGCCAAAATGGGGCGGTGGCGCCATGCGAGCTGCGCCACTTGGACCTTAGGTGGAGCTCCCTATGGGGCCACGAAACGTGTGAGGGGTGTGCCAAAAAGATGATGATGATAATGATGATGATGATGATGACGATGATGATGATGATGATGACGATGAGGATGATAGGAGGGGAGAGGAGGCGGAGGAGGAGAGGAAGGAGACGCGGGGCACCGTCTCTTCAAAACGAGGACCCAACAACACAGGTTGGTTGGGAAAAATTCAGGCTGGGGAACAATCTCCGACTCCTCCCAGATGGGGTCGGACCATCTGCAATCGGAGGATCGCGCCGCATCGCCGATGCACCGGCGAATGCGAACTTATCACACTGCCCCAGCACGTGAATTGAAACGCCGACGCGAACATTCAGAACGCAGTGTCCTAAACGCAGCACCAGCGGCGCGCGGCCACATCCAGTTTCCATTTTTACTGCAAACGCATGGCTCTAGCGCGTGTAGTACGTAGGGTTGCCCGGTAAGGATGCAGGTGGCAATATCGTTGGGTCGCATCTCTCTTCTACTACCGCCAGCTTCCGCCGGTTTCCACCGGCGGAGGCGGCCTCGTTACACTTCCGCAGGTGTCCGCGGCCCTTCCGCCGTGGAAGAAACTGCAACCGCTTCGACCCCCGAAAGCAAGGCCATTTCTGGAACGCCCCAGTTGGTGGGAATCCTCGCCTTAGAAATGAAAGCTGCGCCTTGCCTGAAAACCGCTGCCACGGACACGGTTTCAAAACTACTAGGGCAACTCGCTTGACGGTCGCCCTCGATTGACTTGGAAACCCTGAGAGGTGATCTTAGGCGACGGGGCTACGGAAGTGGAAACTGAAACTGAACAGCCAGCAATAAGTTCGACAAGTCAAGCCGAATGTGCCACCCGTGTTCTCCAGCAACACACGTGAGAACACCAAGAACCAATCCACCGCTGGTCAATATAATTTCCTCGGTGAGCCGAAAATAATGTCCACGTTCGACCAGGATAAATTCCAGGGACCCCCAGGAGAATTTCCTCGTTCGCTCGGAAAAAGAATCCCCCGTCGACCGAAAACGATTTCCCAGTTCGGGGCCGTATTTCCCGGTTCGCGGCCAGATTTTCTCGTTCGCCTTTTCACCGCATGGGTCACAGCCCCCCCCCCTCCAGATGGGATGGGGGGAAAACGACGATGATGATGACGACGACGACGGCGACGAGGATGACGACGACGACGACGACGACGACGACGACGACGCAGACGCCGATGCCGACGCCGAAGACGGCGCAGGCGGAGGACGACGACGACGACGACGACGACGACGGAAGACAACGACGACGAACTATCCCGCATCTGCGGGGGTTGGGTAGTTGATTACCAGCACCCTCCATCACGCCACGCCCACAGGGCCAAGACCACAGGGAGGGGGGAGAGGCCCCATTCGCGAGGCCTTCGCGAGGCGAACGGGCGTACCCATCCAGGGGGGGGGGGAACTTGGTCTCAAGGGCGGCTCGGTCCCGTGTGTATTGGGAGGGCAACGTTGGATCATATGTGCGGCGCCATCTTTGCGGTGCAATCTACGCGAGGCGGCGACGGGGCGGCGACGGCGGCAACATAGCCGCCAGACCGACCGTCAGGCCCAGACGACGGGAGGCGACGAGGCGACGACGGGGCGGCGACGGCGGCCACACAGTCGCAAGACCGAGCGTCGGGCCCCGTTCCACAGAGCAGAAGTAGGACAACTCCTAAGTGCCAGTGCTGTCTGGGGAATTGTTGGACAATCTCAGGCGAATCGGCTTCCAGACCTGGCGTCCTAGGTCTCCCCAACCTCCCGGTGGGACTCTTCTGTGGTCCTACCTCCTACCACACGGCACGCTGTTAGGGAAACGTGCTTCTTGATTTGTCTTTGTGCTTCGATCCTTCTCATCCGCGGGGGGCCTCCCGAAGGGAACCAGCTCGGTGAGCACGTTGTCGCCATCGTGGCAGCAGACCTCGTAGTCGAACCTCTGCTCGAACCCCCGCAGCGCCTCCATCAGCATCACCGCAGCCTCGCACGAACGCCGCAGTCGCCCGTCCATGCCGTTGAAGCGGTACATGGAGGCGGAGGCGTCGAAGAGGAACGTGATGCGCTTCGGCCGCTGCGGGGCCTCTCCGGGCCTCCAGCGAGAGGGGACGATAGGGTCAGGTCGGGCTTGTCCCCCTACAGGCGGATTGTCGGCGAACAAATCGTGCCCAGATCATTTTCTGAAGATTTTGGATTATCCCTCCTGTAGAGGGACATGCCTGACTTAACGGTAGAGGGGGGGGGGAACTCGCTCAGGGAGGTGGAAAGGTCGAACCAGAATCGGCGTTACATCGCCGATAGATCGGCAAAAGGCCCCCGATAGCAGCTCCGCGCGGCCCCTGGCGGGGTGGGCTGCCGGGCCCCCGTCGACGACGAGCGAGCGGTTGGGGACTGGGTGCATCCCCCCTGTGAGCCTTCTCCCCCCCTTGGCGCTGCCCCTGGTCAAGCGAAGCCAGAAAAGGCATACGCACAAGCTTGCTGAGGTCCGCGCGGAAACGTCGGATCGGCACCGGCCCCCCCCCCTCCCCTGGCGCTTGGAGAGCGCCAGTGATCGCCAACCAGGAGCGGCGCCAGAGGCGTCGGCAGGGGGGCCCGTCGCCGACCAGGAGATCCGCGCGGACCTCCGAATGTGCATGTCGACGGCAGGAGCTGGGACACAGTAACATCCTTCAAGAACATGAGACCCCCCGCTGGCCCAAACTGAAGAGCATTCGAGGGTACCCGCCCCCCAGGGTGCACAATAACATCCAACAAGCCCGAAAAACATTAGGGCACCCTCCCCGAAGCGACCTCGATCTTACATCTCGATCCGACCTCATGACGATCTCTTCGTAGGAGGAGGAGGCGGAGGAGGAGGAGGAGGAAGAGGGGGACGAGGAGGAGGAGGAGGAGGAGGCGGAGGAGGAGGAGGAGGAGGAGCACAAACTTTGGCGCCGCCGCGTGGAATCCGCGCGGGCCTCCGACCGTTGATCTCTGTGTACCTTGTCGACTCATGGCCTTCCTCCTCCCGCATAGCGCCTTCTCGCCGCCTTGGGGGGCTCTCTCCGGGGAGATCGTCGATGATGGCATCGCTCGGAAGGAAGGTCACGAGGGATGGCCATAGAGCAGGAGCGGCTGTCTTCAAGACTGCTGCAGATGGAGCAGCGTCAGCGTACAAGTACGGCGATGCAGATGTTCGGTCGCCTGCCGCTTCGCAAGCGGGAGAGCACGAGGCATTGATGGGAGTTGTGATGCACAGTCCGTCAGCGACTGTGGTGCACAGTGACTTTAAATGACTGGTTGGATTGGATTCTCAGCCAGCTCGCGTCTACTTCAACTGTCTCTCTTACTACTATGGGGTGAAGCTGTTAAGTCGTGGGGGTCCCGCTTGGAAATCTGCCAAGAGAGTGATGCAAGTCAAGCCGCATCAGGATCTAATCAGCCTCGAGGCGGGCTGAAATGCGTGGCGGAGTGAAACGGGAAGCCATGCTGCAGATAGGTACGCCATGTTGAGAGCGGCCAAGACCTCTCAGCCTTGGGAAATAGGAGAGGTGCTCCCTCCAGCAAGTGCAAGGAATTGTTGCCGTCGTCTGCATTCCGTGGCCCTGACCCTCTGGCTTGCGCTCAACCGCGGACGCAGGCAGAAGAGCTTTCAGAGCGTGCGAAAGCCAGGATCGGGTTTGAGGATAGGTGCTGGTGCTGCGAGAGACGCACGGCTGCAAGAGGGAACAATCACATTCGAAGACCATGTTTTTCCTCACCAGGCGCGCGAGATCGCAGTGAAGGGGGGGGGAGCTGCGAGGGAGGCACGTGGGACGGAGGGGACGGGAGGTTCCCGTTCTTCAAGCGCCTTCCTCTTCTTCCTCGGCAGCCTTATCGAGCATGGCTGCGGATACTTCTGTACCAGGGGGACTCCGCCCCCGCCTCCTCTCCCCTCACCCTCTTCCCCCCCGCCGCTGATCCCATGGAGTTAGGGCACCGCTGGGGGTGCCTGTCTGAATCACACTGGTTATGTGATTGCTGTCTGGCTTGATAACTTCATCGGCAAGCCCCACCTTTTGGGATTAAATGCCTTGGGTGAAATACAAGTATGACTAATCTGATTCAGAATCCGAGCGGCCACAAACTATATGTTGCCGAAAACGCTGCAGGCGGCTCTGAGTCACGATTCGCTCCAAGTGTGGGCAGCTCACTGAAGGTCAGCTGGCCAAAAAGGCTGCGCTCAACTTGCAGGGCAAAATCTGAAGAAAAATGCCCACACGGAGTCAGGCTGGACGCATGGCATGTTGTCGACAGATCCTGCTGCTACCTTTGCGGAGGCTGAAGATCCCAGGTAGCAGCGCGAGGCCGACGAGACTCGGCCGCATGCCATGTGCTGGTTCTCGCCGCCAGGGGGGGGGGATCGCCGATGCACCTGCGGCGTGCCGTCGGACCCAGCCCGACGCTTGCCTTGGCCCCCCCCCCCCCCGAGGACAGTCCCGCCAAGATCCCGACATCGTGATGCCCCTTCTCCTCGTCCTCCCTCCTCCTCCCCCCCTCCCCCTGGCTCTCGCCTCCTCTCTCCCTCCTCCTCATCCTCCCTCCTCTTCCTCTCAGACGGGGCCAGGACGAGGATCAATCCGTTCCTGAGCGTTCCGGAACGCTCTGAGATGGCCGCGGCGCCCGAGATATCATCCAGAACCACCAGCCCTCAGAGATTCCCGATTTGTCCTCGTCCAAATTGATCCCCGTCCTGCTTTCGTCTTATCCTCCCTCCTCCTCCTCCTCCTCCTCCTCCTCCTCCTCCTCCTCCTCCTCCTCCTCCCTCCTCCCTCCCTCCCTCCCTCCCTCCCTCCCTCCCTCCCTCCCTCCCTCCCTCCCTCCCTCCCTCCCTCCTCCTCCTCCCTCCTCTTCCCGGCCCGGAAGACGCTGCGGGGGCCTCTGCTCCCGGGCGGCGCGCCGCTTGAACACCGCCGCCTCCCCGGCGATGGCGTCGACGAGGCGGTTCTCGTCGAGCTCGCCCTCAGCACCCCTGTGCCAGACGCGCTCCCGCTCCTCCGGGGGTCCCCTGACAGCCTCTCGCCTCCCAGCCTCCCTCACGAGGAGGGAGAGAGGAGGTGGCGGGGGAGGGGGTGGGGGGGGAGGAGGCCCACACCCCCTCGGGTCATGTAACAAAAAAATGGTGGGAAATTCGTCGCTACGTTCGGCCTCCTGGGGTCCTTGCTGGGCCTTGGGACCGTCAGAGAACGACGCAGGTTGAAAAACTGGCCCCAGGGAATGGATCCAGATCTCTGGGGATCCACGTTATAAGAAATCATGACGTCGGGGGACTGGGGAGGAGGAGGAGGAGGAGGAGGAGGAGGAGGAGGAGGAGGAGGAGGAGGAGAGCTACTGGGCCCACCCTGGGCCCAGGATCGGTGTCTGCGCCCTCCTCGCTCGGCCAGCTGGGCCTATGCGCCGATCCTTGGGCCCAGGGGGGGGCCGGCCAGGATGGGCGTGTGCGTATCCAGCTGCCGCCCTCCGAAGAGGAGGGGGAGGAGGGGAGGACGAGGAAGCGGAAGCTGCCCTCCGAAGCCTGAGGAGGGCCGCTGCCCTCCGACATGGAGGAGGAGGACGAGGGCGAGGGAGCGGCACGCACTCCCCATGGGTCGCCGACAGGACTCCGCGCCCTCGCGCCCTCGCGCCCTCGCGCCGCGCCCTGCCCCCCCTCCACGGCGGCCTCCGAGGCGAGCAAAAGCAGCGGCAGACACAGAGACGTTCGGAGGCCCGCGCGGAGGCCTCGGATCGGCCCTGGGCCCACCCGGCGGCGCGCCTCCGGCGCCGCCCCCCCCCCCCGCGCTCAATTCCGCCAGAGGGCGGCCGGGGGGTCCGGCGCCGGTCCGGGGAAGCCGCGCGGACGGCCGACCTCCGAAAGTTCGTCTCTGCTCGAGGTTGTCGCAGTCGATGTGTTTGGATCCCGTGTATGGATGTACCCCACGAACTGATGTACCCCACGTCGACTCTTCCACAACAATACGTCAACCATGCGTAGATCTGCGACAATTCTACGAATGGCCCGTGGACTCGACGAGACGAATCAATTCTGGGGCAAATCATTTCTGTCGTCGATCCCCTACTCGATTTTTAAATCGTTTCGCTGGTTTTTGAATGCTCCCTCGGCTCGGGTTGCGCCACGTCGAGAACGTCCCGGGGATGCCTGGATCGTTCCGATCGGCAACCGGAGGCCCGAGTCATCACCCGAAAAACCGGACATCCTCCCGACGCGGAAAAAAAACGACGGACATTCTGGGGTGCGCACTGTGCCCTGGGGCCGTCAAAAGTCTGACTACAGTCGGGGTCTTGACCTAAGGAGCCCTAAATAAGGAACGAGGCCCCTATTTTCCATAACTTGAACTTCGATTTCCTATCGAAAACATAAGGAAAACCTGAGGCAAGCTGCGAAACACTTAAGGAACGCGGAGCCCCTCCCCAACGAAAAGGGTTCCTTCTCCAGGGCCCCGAATGTATCACGAAACCCTGCCTCCTGCGGAATGGGGTCACAAACCTCCTCTGAGGTCTGACGTTGCGGGAAGACTGTAGCACCGCGAAGTCACGACGGAAGCCATTTGTTCGAGCCAGATCGATCTGCGAGGATTCCCAGGCCCGAGACCAGGCGAAACCGGGTCACTGAGCCTCGTCTCTATCACGGGGGGCCTCATGACCGAAACTCTGCCCGAAAGTCTGGCCGCGCGCGACCGAACCCAGCGCCCGGCAATTCGTCCGCACGCGCCCGAGTGTAACCGAATTGCCTGGCAAGAAGCAACCAGTGCGATGTGAAGTGTCGGTCGCATACTCGGTCACACTGCACTTTCGGCCACCATTTCGGGCACGCGTTCGGTCATATGGTTTTCCAGACACAAACCTTTTCTCTGATGAGGGTAGGGTGCCAAGAACATTGCAACGCCCCGATCGAAGTCTTCAAGTAGAGGATCGACGCCATAACCAAATTACCCTGAGACTGATTTCCTCGCCGACTCTACAAACAAACGTCGTAGAAGGTCCGTATGTAATACTGAGCATTGTACGTACTCTTCGTAGAGTCGACGAGAGAATCAAATCTGGAGTGCATCAATATTTAGCCGACGACGGTCGGTGTGACATATTTTGTCCACCGTCGGGGACGCCTGTCCCAGGGCGGCTGGGAAATGTACACCCCCACATGCCACCGCTGGGGTTTCAACTTGTCAGCCGCCCTGGGACAGGCGTCCCCGACGGCGGAACAGTTTATGGCATTATGTTCTAGCACCCTGCAGTTTTCTAGTCGATTCCCGAACTCGAAATCTGAGTAGCCACGCCGGATATATAGGCTCGCTGCCGGACGGCTGCCCTGGCCCATTTGGCCATTTGGCATCTTGAGCACATGAGACCCTCCGTGGGCCAAGCTGAAGAGCATTCAAGGGTGCCCTCCCACAGGATGCAGAAACAAATCCCGAAGACACGCAGAACATTAGGGTACCCTCCCAGAAGCGACTTCGATCTCGGTCCGACCGTGAACGCTCCTGCTAGGCAAGGGCCCCTCTCCCGAGGCCGAGAGATGGCCCCAGGGGGCCCAAAACGGTGCGTGCCACAATGGGGCCCAGGAGCACCTCCCCAGGCCCCGACGCCGTGCTTCTTGCTCACACCGTGGGCCCCCAGGGGTGTCTCTCCCCCTCCTCGGGGGGACGAGAGGGGTAGAATAGCGAAGGGCGGGGTAGATACTCAGATCACGTAGCTGGTTTTCCTCGCGCCTCCAGGGGCCGGGAGCACCCACCTCCCCAGACCCCCGACTTCGTGTTTGTTGCTCACACCGAGGGCCCCCAGAGGGGTCTCTCCCTTTTCGGCGGCACGCACAACGGGGTAGAGGGGAGGGGGAAGGCTTTTGAGAAGGGGGAAGGCTTTTTAGAAGGGGGCGCGGGCCCTACTCCTACAGACAAAGCCCGCGCCTTCTAGGAAGCAGTATCCTTCTAAGATGCCCTCCCCCCACTATAACCCCCTCTCTGCGCGTGTCCGACCCTTCCACGGGACCGGTTTTTCATCCTAAATCGTTTTTGTTACAGTCCCGGCGTGGCCCGGCGAGGGCCCCCGGAGGCAGGAAATTGCAACCGATCCTTGGCGGTGGCAGCACCGAGCACTCGGCGCAGCTGGTCGACCTCGCCCTGCACCTCGCCGAGTATGGTCATGTACAAGTCGTAGTCGCCGCCGCCCATCTCGATTTCCTGGAGGCGTTTCTCACGGGCCTCCTCGCCCATCTTCCGGGCGGCCTCCCGGGCTTCCTCTCGGGGGCGAACAGAAAGGCAGATCTCCAACGACGTGTTCTTTTTCAATCCCACCGCTTGCCCTCGATCTCGGCCTCCCTGTTAGCAGTCCCCTGGGGGAGCGGTCAGGACCTCTGGGTCTGCGGCAGATGTCAGATGCGTTGCGGCAGATGTCAGGTGTCAGCTGCGATGCGATGCGATTCGACGGCCCGCGTAGGCAACAGGGGCGGCCCCGCCTGCTCTGGCACTGCGCAGGGCCGCAACAACAACAACAACAACAAGGCACTGGACAGTAGCACAGGATGGGTGAAACAACATTGGTGACGAGAAGTGCGCGCGTGGTTGTATACGCCCGTCGACCTGAATCGAAAGTGGGTCGAATTCGAATCGAACTATAATCGAATTTTCCAAACGTGCTATAATGGAACTAGTATCGGATTTGAACCGAACCGAAGTCCAACAAATTTGTTGATGGCACCCAGGAAGGTCCCCAGAACCGTCCCCAGAACGAGTAAAAAGTACCGTCGGCATAATGGATTTACCCCAACATCGATCTTCCCCGTGGAATCTACGATGATACGTGGTCTGGTCACTAGATGTACGAAACGTTGCACGCATTTGTTCGGAAGTTCGTCGACATAACAAGATTGGGGAGCATCCATTCTATAGGCGATCACCGAACACTACCTCAAGACCAGGCAGACAAACATAACATGGGGGGCGTCATTAAACATTTTTGTCCTCAGCTCGGGCGAATCGCGGGGGGGGGGCGCCACATTCAAACACACGGCGGCGGCGCCGGAGATTAGCGCCGACGCCCGGCCGACTGCAGGATGACGAACGGCGCGACGCAAGCGGCACCGCTTCAGCGGAAGGGGACTGCATCACCTCCGATATAGCAGGGCGCTTGGGCCAAAATGGCTAGAGACAGGAGGGAAAGAAAAGGCGGGGGAACGAAGCGCCTCGGCTGGCGGGCGGTGCCGACATAGCTACAAACAGGAAAAGTAAGAAAGGGGGAAGAGCAGAAGGCAAGCTGAGAGGACTCCTCCTTTTGCCATGCCCCTCCCTCCCAACCCTCCACAACAACGTCCGACAACGACGAGTCCGACGACGAGTCCGACGACGACGACGATCACGACCACGGCCACGACCACGACAACGACCACGACGACGACGACGACAACGACGGCGGACTACGACGACGCACTGCGGATGCTCCATGGGGACGACGGCGCCCTGCAGACACCCTAGGGGGGGGGGAGAGAGCTGCTCAGGCGCTGAAGCCCGCTGCAGTCTGTCGACGACGACGACGACGACAACAACAACGAGACGACGACGGCGGCGACGACGACGCACTTCGGATGCCGATGCCCCATGGGGTCGGGGGGTTGCTGCGTAGGCCCGGCCCGCTGTAGACGACGGCGACGGCGACGACTGTGGCACGTCACTAATTAATCAGTGCGACAAGGGGACAAATTCGTCTCGGATGTATACATTCACTATAACGGCTTCTATACGAAAGGCAATTGTTTTGAGGCTGCCGTGAATGGGGGGTTACACGACTCCCACGACGGCACCCGCGACAACCCCTGGCGCGCGCCATTGAAAACATTTCGTGCCCCGCGGGTCCACTCATCAGCCCTAGTGGGGGGCCTCATTCGTTAATCACAAACTGACATTACTCAAGACTTGGCAGGGCGGGGAATCTATTGATCCCGATCCTCCGAGATCTGCGCTTTGGCCTCGTCGCTGATCTGGTGCACGTTCTGCCCCGGCTTCTCGAGGCGGTACGGGCCGCCCTTGCAAAGGAAAACGCAGCAGCACCAACATCACCGTCCGGAAGTCTGCGCCGATTACTCGGATCCGCGCTGGACACCCTACCCTGGCGCGCGAAGCGCGCCAAGGGCGGCGCCAGAGACGCCGCCAGGGGGCCCCAATGCCGACCCGACGAACCCGTGCGGACCTCCAGAAATTGTTGCTTACGCAATTTGTTGCCCTTCAGCCTTGCCGCCCAAGCCAGCCGTGTCGGCGCCGCCAGACCCCCCGGCCCACCGGTTGCCGCCGACGTGTTCCTTGTCGTCCTCGTCGCCGTGCTTCGGTTTCCCGGATGCGTCCCGCGACTGCTCGCGCTGATGTTCTTCGCGCCGCGACGCTTCCAGCAGCCGCCGCCGCTGGCGCCGGGCCTGCCGGATCACCTGCGCCCCCCCCCCCCCAGCGCTTGTGGGTTGGAGGAGGGGGAACTGGCATGCAGCAGGCACAGATATCCGACCATAGTGGCTTTCTCTTTTTTCAAGGGACTCAGGGACACGTGCACATGTATATGTACACATACATAAACATATACATAAACATACACACATATATATATACACATATGTATGTATACCTATACACGTACATATATATATATATATATATACATCCCAAGATTCCCGATTTGTCAAATGTTTTGGATGTTCATCATTTCCCCCACTTCCCGTGTGTTCCATTTCTTTTGGGCATCGACGAGTCGTTGTGTCTGTGGGTTTCTTTTGCTCTTGACTTTCCCTCGAGGCTTTCCTTGCGGATCTGTCGTTCCTTGAGGCTTTGTCTGCTCCTGGAGGCTTTCTCACCGAGAGATGTTTCCGAACAGCGGTGCCCGAATCGTCCCGAACAGCCGCCGCCGCCGCCGCCACTGCCGTCGTCGTCGTCGTCGTCGTCGTCCTGACAAGACGCCACGATCCCAGACGATATGACTGGTTCAAATTGCGTTTTGTCCCTCAGTTTGGGTCCTAGCAGTGGGCCCTGGGACCGTCAAGCCTTGACCCAGGCCAAACCAAAAAACATCTCTGAGGAAGAGGTCGTGACCACTGGGGCCGCGTACTGGAAAAATGACACATCGGCGGATGTCATTCTAACGCTAAAGTCAGACGCCGAGGCGCGTGGACACAGCACTACATGCAATGGCGGCAGACAGCGCACTGCCAAGCCACTGGGTCTCTCAAATCCTTTGTGCGAAAGCAGCACGTCGCTCTTGGCGGGTCCAGTCGCTATTTGGTCTTCCAACGTGTCGCACGTCTCTCTCTGCCGCTGCTCCCAGCGGTCTGAGGCAAAACATGCGCCTCGTCAGCACTGTCTGGGGACATCGCAACGCGGCCCTATAGCAATCGACGTACGCGCCCAACGACCTACGCGACAAATCACGTACGCGCCCACCAGTCCGCGAGACCAGCCGCGTGATACGAACAATCGCGAAACGCGTACTCTCGAAACCAGCGTGAATTCATGTACGTTTACGTCCTTCTTTCGCTCCTGTCCAACACCTTGCGAGAAGCCAGACGTCGGTTCTGCGTTTCCTGGAATGATCACGTGCGTCTGTGGGTTCCTGCGGCCGTCAGGGGTCAGAAATTTCCGTGGGGTACCAGCAGCCAGGCTGGTTCCTTATCGGATGCGCCTACACTCAGCTGTAAGCAGAACTTTTCGCGCCAGGAGCGGCGGTGGGGCGCCACCCTTGGCGCGAAGAGTCAGCATAACCAACATTACACTCTTGGAGGTCCGCGCGGAATTTTTGGTCCAGCGCAGTACCGAGCTGTCTGGCGCGCGGATGGCGCCAACTCGGGGCGGCGCTGGGGGTGTCGCCAATGCAGGCCAAGCGCCCGACCCAACAAATCCGCGGGACTGCTGAGAGTTTAGAGCCGAGATGCAGTAGAAATGCAGCGGCTCGGGCCCCCAAGGGGCTCGCTGTCCCAGAGGGTCCTTCCGTGCCTGTTCCAGAGCCGCGCTGACGGCCATGTTGGTGGCCCCCACGGCCTCTAGAGCTCTCCTCACGAGGCCCCAGGGGCGTCAAAATCAACAGGAAGCTGGGGGTACCTTGGGCCAGGGGCACCTTGAGCAACCCCCCAAGATTCGAGTCGTCTGGGTGTTGGATGGCTGCTCTCCTGTTCTTCTGGCGGTTCTGTGCTGCTGTTTTTTCGGGGATCTTCTGACCGGGGTCAATCCAGACCCGGGTCAGTCGGGCCTTGCAAAATCCTGCAAGATCATGCAAGGTCCTGCACCCAAGCCCGGGTCAATGCGAAGGATTCTGCAAAACCCTGCAGGATCCTGCACCCAAGCCCGGGTCAATGCGACCCTGGCCCTGCAGGATGATGCACGATCGGGCGCTCTGGCTGAACCCCGTTTGCATGGACCCCCGTCTCAAGGCTGCCAATTCTTCTTCGACCTGGGCCGCCCGGACGTGGGCGGCACTCGGGGCGGCCCGCGTCGGCTCTGCATCGGACCAGGCCGCTCGGCTCGGCTCGGCTCGGGACGACCCAGATCGATATGGCATGGTGGAGGGTCCCAGGGACAAATAACATGAATACGCACAAATCCCAGGATCCGCGACGTTTCCCATATTTTCTGAACTCTCGTCTTCCCCTCCACGTCGCACATTTTCCGTATCTTCCAGGGCATCGACGATTGTCTGTGTCTGCGTGTTTTTACCCTCACGAGAACAGGGTCGAAAGGATCGACACCCTGATGTCCGCCGATCAGACGTTTTCACTCGGCGGCCTCCGAGGCCCCGGCCACCTTCCCACAAGGCGCAACGTTTCGCCCTGGAGCCACTCTTGATGGCCCCAAGGGCCCGATAAAGGGTCCCTCCGGGGGACGTGTGCGAACGGTCCCAAGGGCCCGATAAAGGGCCCCAAGGGCCCGATAAAGGGTCCCTCCAGGGTCGAAGATACTGGCCAACGTGGGCCCCGCACGGCGTGCTTCTTTCTGGCATTCTGTGTTCTTCGGTCGATGTGGAGCGGTCTGTCTTGTGCAAGATATGCGGTGCAATCGATGCTGCGCCAGATATGGTATGCAACATGCGTTGAGCACTTTAGGTGGTTCAGTGTATGACGCAATATGTGTTGTGCAATCTATGCTGTGCAAACTATGTTGCTCAATCAAGGTGCTGCGAGATGCGGTGCAATCTATGTGGAGCAGATGACTACCCTGCACCGCGCCTGACCACCTCCCATGCTCTTGCAAACATCCCACCCACCCACCCGCAACTTGTTCGGCAAAACTCATGATGCGGGGGGACGGCGGCGCCACTGATGACGACATCGATGATGACATCCTCACTGCCGACGACGACTAAGACGACGACGACGTCGCCAACGAAGACGACGACGAGGGAGGAGGGAGGAGGACGACGACGGCGACAACGACGACAACGACGACAACGACGAGGGAGGAGGGAGGACGGCGACGACGCGAACGACGAAGGAGGAGGAAGGACGGCGACGCCGACGACGACAACGACGAGGGAGGAGGGAAGACGACGACGACAACGACGACGACGAAATAGGAAGCACGACGACGAGACGCCGACGACGGACGACGACGACGACGACGGAGGAGGAGGAAGGACGAGCACGGCGACAACGACGACGGAAACGACCACGCCGCCAACGAGGACGACGACGACGAACACGAGGAAAGACAGAGGACGACGTAGGCGACGACGACGACGACGACGCGGGAGGAGGGAGGACGGCGACGACGACGACGACGGCGACGACGCAAGAGCGCGCGCGCACGCTTTTGTTGAAAATCCCTGTTGCGAAACCTTGTGTTTTGTAGTTTTTCTGGACACACGATTTTGAAATCCTTCCGAAACCGATGAGTTCTGAAGGATTTCGGCATACGCGCCCGACGACGCGCGCGTCTGCACTTCGTCCCATTTGTTGCAGAGGATTCTCGCGACGGCACACGCGCAAGGGCGTTCGACAGATTTCGACATGCACGCGCGCGAAGCCCGTTTTTTTTGTTTTTGTTTTTGCTTGCTTCTGACGCACGGGGTCGATGGGCCGAGCCCGGGGGCGCTTCCCTGGGGCAGCCTCGCTGGCGAGCTGGCTCGCTCTTACGGCAACTTGCCAATTAGGCGCCATGGTGCCTGCGGCTGCTCCTTGGGCAGCCCCGCTGGCACGCTCTTCCGACGGCGGGTCCTGCCTGTGGCGCACGCCTTCCTCAGGGCTCGCCCTCCTGGTCCGAGGTCCAGAGAGTCAGGTTGTCGCGGAGCAGCTGCATGATGAGGGTGGAGTCCTTGTAGGAGTCCTCTGCGACGTTGTCGAGCTCGGCGATCGCGTCCTCGAAGGCGGTGCGCGCCATCTTGCACGCCTCGTCCGGATTCGCTAACACCTCATACTGAAACACAGAGAAGTTCAGAGCAAGACCGAGGCGGATGGGGTTGCTCACTGCCAAGTCCTTGGTGGCAATCGCTTACGCCTCCTCGTAGGCTAATTTGGCGTCGTTCGAAGCCTTTTCCTTGTCAGCACCCGTAGTGTACTCGGCAATGTAGCGGTAGTAGTCGGCCTTCCTCTTCTGGTAGAAGACCTTCGACTCGCCTGTGGTTGCCTTTCCGATGAGACTGTTGTCCAACACGGCAAGGATCTTCTTGCAAATGTCATCGAGCTCACCCTCCACCTTCTTGCAATACTCCTTCGCGAACTTTGCGTTCTCCTCGTTGCCCTTGCTAGTCTCCTTCTGCTCCACGCTGGTGATGATACGCCATGTCAAGAGGCGCGAACCCACGGCGTTCTTGTAGGCCACGGACAAGAGTTTGCGTTCTTCAGCTGACAGCTCGTCCCCTGACTTCCTCACTGCCTCCATGTGAGTCGCCATCTCGTCGTAGCGCTCCGCTTGCTCCGCAAGCTTCGCGAAGTATACCTCCTTGTCGCGATTCACTGCCATCCCTACAACTGGCTGTTTTGCGAGGTGGACCCGCGGCCAATGCTACGTATCTCCAATCTGATTGTAAATCTCTGCTCTTGAGCCAAAATGGCTACGGAACGCGGGCGAATCCCGTTTGGTAGCATTTTGTGAAAATCTTGAAAAACATATGTTTCTCTTAAGATTGCGCACGAAGCTGGCGCGTAAGCTTGTTTAGCAATTCAGTGTTGCGAAACCCTGTGTTGTTGTACGTTTGTTTGGAAACTCGAGTGCGACATCCTTCCGACACCGAAGGTTTTTCAAGGATTTCGGCATGCGCGCGCGACGACGCGCGCGTGTACACGTCGTCCAATGTTTTGCAATGGATTCGTGAACAAGTCTTATGCTTTAATAAAATATGTCCCCGCGTGCTGTTTCTTACAAGGGAACCTCAGGGGGACCGATCCTGTCCCCCCGGGGATATTGTAAATTCATATTTAAGATGGACATGTGGTCAGAATCATATAGGATCTACATACCCGAAAGGGGGGCCGATAACGCTGGGGGGGGGTAGAGTCTATTCTCTGTTTAGGAAGGAGAGTAAATGTGGAGCAATCGCTGTGTTGTAATATACGTGAAGCAGTATATGTGGTGCAATATCTGTTGTCCG